CAAATCTCCAGCTCTAACTGAAGCACACAAACGCATTCGTCTTCAATGGGCCAAGGACCACATGACTTGGGAAAAAGAATGGCAAAAAATTGTGTGGTCCGATGAAAAAAAACTCCATCTTGATGGTCCAGACGGCTTCAATTACTACTGGCATGACATAAGAAAAGAGAAAATATTTTCAAAAAGAAGGGCTATGGGAGGCGGAGGAGTAATGATTTGGGGTGCGTTCGGTTATTTTGGAAAGACTTCAATTAGCTTTATTACTACTAAGTTAAATGCAGAAGGATATAGAAACTTGTTGAATGGTCATTTGAATGATATTTCACAAAAATTTGGTAACACCAATTTCATTTTCTAGCAAGATAATGCTCCAATTCATAGAGCAAAGTCAAATATCTCATGGTTTACCAGCAAGAAAATTCAATTATTAGAATGGCCAGCGCTCTCACCTGATTTAAATCCCATCGAAAATGTATGGGGCATCTTAGCAAGACGTGTTTATGCAGAAGGGAAACAATATTCGAATGTCGATGAATTAAAAAAGGCAATTGTTCATGTTTGGAAGAACATATCTCTTGCAGATCTTAGAAAACATTCGGAAAGTATGCCTAATCGAATATTTGAAGTTATTCAGAATGGCGGCAATAAAACAAAGTACTAATAAAAAATTCAAGTAGCAATACAAAACATTATTTAAAAACTTTGGCATATAAAATTCGCCGAATGGTCACACACGAGCAGTGAACACCCGAGGGAAGAAATGAAGTACATTAGAATAAAGAAGAATTATTTATCGAACGAAGCATATTTTGACAGTTGTCAAGACAAAAATAAAGATTAATAGAGGAAAATTTCAAAACAAGTAAGACAGACAACACATCCAAGCAGTACTCACAATAACAATAACAAAAAATTTTAAAAAAACAAACAAAAAATTTTAAAAAACAAACAAAAAATATGGATAGCAATGTAAGGCCTTAGAATGGAAAAAGAACATTAATGCTAATGTGTAAACATAATTATGTAGTGATAAAGTAATAAACATCTCCTCAGAGTCGCGTCTATTATTACAGGCGTTTCGATGAGGGTCAGCACTTATAACTAGTTTATCCCGTCAGACAAACGTCATCGCCACTTGTGCTTTACCCCGCGACTTACGCCTTATCCATACTGCAGTAAAAAAGGACTCACTACAAATAGCCAAAACCCCACCAACCCAAAATTTGTAAAACACTAATGTTTTTTTAAAAATATGATATGAAAAGTGTAGATAAACTGTAAAAAATAAATAAAAATACCTAAATAAATCACTTACCATACCACCGAAAGAAAACATGAAAGCACAATAAATTAAAATTCTAATCGAAACATAAAAATATAAATAAATTCAATTTTAAGATCTAAAACCAGATAGGTATTAATAGCATAAATAATCCAAAGATAAACAGAAATCAGAATACCTCATTAAAAAAATTTTTTTTAATCAACAAAACAACAATAGCCTTAAATAAACTCTAACGCTGTCATAGATACCTCGTTCGAAATGTGATAACCAATCAAAAGTGAAGGAAAATGAAAAACCCGCGAAACCTAGAATCATAACAATGATAGAACAATGTGTGGTTGCGAAAAAATCGTCGCACAAAGACATTAATAAAATAACCGGCATAAATGTAGACATTAAATGAAGGATATAAAAAATTCCTCTGAATAATAATAAAAGATGAAAATTGTGTATATGAAAATTCAAATAAAGTTGAGTAATCAATGCAAGATAATAAATAATAAAAATTCATAATAAACAGTAATAATATGAAAATCAGCAGATAAATAATATATTAATGAATATTGCAATAAGAAAAACTAAATACTATAACAAAGCCAGATAAATTTAAAATAAATGAGTGGTTAAAAATTTATTTTGGGCGATGTAACAGTCATATAAGTCGCGAAATAAAAACGATATACGAAGCGGGAAAAAACATTATGGAATTTTGTAGAGTAAAATTAAAATAAGGTTATAATTTTGCACCATAATTTTTCTAAAATTTTCAAGTCAGTTAATGAAATGAAACCAGACTCTATTACAAATGAAATATTAATCAAGTAAGATATTAAGCAATTGAATAATTTAAAAATGATTATTTAATTATTTGTAAGAACTTGATTTTTTGGTGAGGTTATAAATTTGCACCGCACTGTATATATATATTATATATATATATATATATATATATATATATATATATATATATATATATATATATATATATTTATATATATATATATATATATATATATATATATATATATATATATATATATATATATATATATATATATATATATATATATATATGTATATATATATCTATATTTATATATATATATACATATATATATATATATATTTATATATATATATATATATATATATATATATATATATATATATATATATATATATATATATATATATATATATATATATATATATATTAGTCTTGTCTAACCAGCGCTTTCGCACTCAAGCCTTTTTGGCTTGCCCATATGTACGCAAAAACATTGGCAGTTACATAAAAAGCACTTGCCAAAAAATAATAAAAGCAATTTTCAATATTGCTGCAAATCTTTTTTGTTTGTCAAATACTTTTATGAAAAATCGTGAAAAAATGCTTTTTTGTATATATTTTATTTAGAATTTAAATAAAATATTCGTTTTGCTGTTTTTAATGTAATTGTTTTATTTAGAATTTAAGTTTAAATTTTAAAATAACAAAAAAAGATGAATTTTTAAAATCGCCAACATAAAAATGACCATCTGATCAGCATTTTTTCATGTGCTGGCATTATCAAACAGAAAAGACTGATATATATATATATATATATATATATATATATATATATATATATATATATATATATATATATATATATATATATATATATATATATATATATATATATATATTATATATATATATATATATATATATTATATATATATAGTAAAAACTAAATAATTATAACACTCGATTTATTTAAAACATTA